GGGGGGGGGTGGGAAGGGGGCAGCACAGCATTTCGGAAAGGATCTATGACTTACCCTGCGATGGGGAAACTAAGGCACAGAGTTGGCTTCCCGAAACACTTCGGCAAGCTGCAAGACAGGCATTGAGTGTAGCTGTCGGCATTGCCTGCTGTTGCCAAGGTGGGGTAGCAGAGGAGCTCCACCCGTACTGCGGCAGTCTGGGCTCTGTGGCAGTAATGCTGGGATATGCTTTGCTTTCAGAATGACCCTTTCTGGACGGCTGGGTCTCTCTCCAAGTCTGACTACTTGGAAGCTGCCAACCAGTCAGTCTGCAAATTGGCAGATATGCTAGAGGTGGTCAAGGACAATACATCAGTCATCTTGAACTTCCAGGACCTGCCACCTGCTCATCCTTACTACAGCACTTATATCAACATCACCCTGGAAACCATCCTGGCGTCGGGAATTCGGCAGCAGGCTGTGAGTTCTGTGAAAAGTGGGCAAACGAGTTGGTGACATTGTGCGAAAGGGAAGGGCTTTACGAACAGGAGGAAACGGGCTAATTTCTATCTGCTTATATCAGCTGCTTTGGGAATCAAAGAATTCCTTTGGCTGGGGATTTGTAGAACATGAGGCGTTTTTCCCCCAGGGGTATCTATTTTGGCCCTACTTTCCCTGCTGTTAAACGCTGTGGGATCTCTCTCTAGTCACTTCCACAATGTCCCCAGTCTACTCCCAAGCAACTCTTCTTATTTCCGAAACTGCAGTCCTCGTGGGCTGCCCGTATTCTTGAATGCCTCACTTGGTCTGTTTGGCACTTAATAGTTTGAAATGTCCGGAGCTGCTTAGTGCCAGGAGGTCATGCTGGGGAGGACGGTGCCACAGGCTGGTGGTCCAAGAGGCAATACCATCCTGCAAGGGTCAGCATGGGCCTCTGAAAACCACTTGAGATAACTACTCCTGTGCAGCAATGTGCCCTGGCAATAACGATGCTTGACGGCATCCTGGGCTGTATTAACACAGATGGAGGGAAGTAGTTCTTCCCCTTACTCTCATTAAATCCCACCTGGATACTGTTTCTGGTAGAGCTCCCCAACACAAGACAGACATTGATAAACTGGGGCAAGTTCTGCACAGGCCACTAGACTGGTCGGGGGCTGGAGACATGCTGTGTGAGGAGAGGCTGAGGGGGCTGGATCTATTCAGCCAGGAGAAGAGATGGCTTTGGGGAGACCCAAGAGCAGCTGTCCAATGCCTCCAGGGAGGTTACTGAGAAGACAGATGCAGGCTCTTCACCCCAGGAGGGTGAGATGCAGTGGTCATAAATTGAAACAGAAGAGATTCTTGCTGGATATAAGGAAACAAGTTTCCCCCGTCAGGACAGGCTAGCATCGAGACTGGGGCCCAGAGAGGCTGTGAGACCTCCATCCTTGGGGATTTTCAAGATCTGACTGGACAAAGCCTAGAGCAACCTGCTTTGAACTTAGTGGTGGCCCTGCTTTGAGGAGAGGTTGGAGTAGAGACCTCCTAAGGTCTTTTCCTACATAAGCGCTTTGAGAGCCTCCAGACATGGGGGAAGAGGCTGAGACCTGGATGCCAGTTGTAGTGCGAAAGCAGAATGCCCTTCCTCTTCCCACTTGTTAGTTTTAAATAATCCTTTTCCCTGGGCCAAAGAACTGCTGCAGCCAGCCTCTGCTTGGAGGAGAAATGCATGTCCTGGAAAGGAAGGAAGGGCTTCCAGCAAAGAGAGACATAAACTTGCAGAGATCTCCTCCAAGCTCTCAATTCTTCCCTAGAATTGTCCTTACTGGGTTATGCTAAACACTTGAGCCATTGCATTCACAGTCCAGCCAGCCTTGTTATCTATGTTCTCTGGCCCCAAAGTATAAAGTATCACCCAACACGATCGCTCTGATGCAATGAAGTTTCCTAGAGGGAGAGTCCTGCTTCTCATGTGTTGGAAGGGCACCCATACCTGGGAACTGTGGTGGGACCTTGGAAAGCTTCTCTCCTTGGCCTGTCTTGGGAAGGAAATCTTGTCCTTTCACTTGCCCTGGTGTCTCCCGTGAATTTGGACTGAATGACAATAGCTTAGTATGGCTGGCAAGTGGAGTGATTTACATCGCTTGCAGCTTAGACATTTCATCTGTACCAATTAGTTGCATTTGCATGCACAGAAAAGTGGGAGCATTCAGCGCTCCGACTTGTGCAATGATGGGCCCAGGAGGGAACAGAGCTATTTTTAACTTCCGTCTGTCTTTCTAATGAGTGACACTGCCACCCGATTTCCAATTCATTCTGAGGTCACAGTGACTGTGTGCATTTTCCACAAACTGCTACCAGCTTTACTAGATCCCTAGGAGGACTGTGCTGTCTTCCCTTTGGATATTTCACAGCGGGATGGAGGGCAAGGGGATAATAGTCGAAACGTAGATATTGCAATGCAAACTGAAGTCTCTCGCCCTGGTTCCCTATTGAAATTGCATGCAACTGCTTTCGGGCAGCTCTGATGCCTTGGTAAATGAGCAATACAATGCCCGATGGTATTGCTAAGATCATCTAGCTGGGCCCAGTCTCCGCATGGCACAAGCTATAAAACTGCCCAGTTTGGCTTCTGCATCCACTTTACATCCGGCAGCCGAGCATGTTTGCGATAGTTGATTTGAAACGTTTTCAAAGCATGGTATGAATTCAGAGAAAACCTTGCCCTGGGTTGGAATAGATGTAACGTTGATAAAATGGTTAAATAAAACTAATCTCAACCATGGGACTGTGGGAGGCTTTTCCTCTCTGTCCTGCCTGCGCTGTCAATTTTAGCCTCATGTCCTTAGTTCTCTCTGTGCCCTGAATTGGACAGGAGGGACAGGTTTTAAGAACTACGCTATGCCTCTTCTCATGAGCCTTTTGCCTGACCTCTTTATATCTCAGCTCCTCTCCTTAGAGACAAAAGGGTTGGGGGTTTTTTTGTTCATTAAAGCCCCCTGGCCTTGCCAGCAATCCTGAGACGTGCTTGAATAGAGAGGTGAGAGACTCTAAGTGTCTCTAAGGCACTTTGCATGACCAATAAGGCAAAGTGTCTGATGTAGTTTAGCTTCTGACTCGGTGTAAACGGCATGCCTGCAAACATGCCTCGTGTTACCTGCTTGGTGAATCGTCTTTGCAATAGCTGCCGTCTCCGTCTCCCTCCGTCCACAGGTGATGTGGCTGCCGGACGCAGAGCGGCAGCTGGTCAGACAGATTGCACCGGGTTTCCAGCAGACTTCTGGCCTCAAGCTGGACGCGCAGCGCATGAAAGAGAAAGGAATCGTGAAACTTAACCTGCGTTACACCAAGGTCACGAATGAGGATGTCAGGTACTGCCCTTCGTTCGGACATCGTGCGATTGCCCGTGTGCTCTGTGGTGGGTGTCATTAGCACCTCGCATCCCTTGTGCCCGGTATGCATCCTGGCCCCGCAGCATCTTTTTCCTGATCATCCCAGGCTGCCTTGTCTGCATAAAGATATCATTTTTGATGAACTTGTGCTTAAAAGTTGGAGCTGTGCAAAGGTGTCCCTGTTCATCAACCCAAATCCAGACTGTTCCCAGGGGCACGCAGTTGATTGTCATAGCTCTACATGCTAATTCAGGATATGATGAACCTTTTGGAAATACAAATATGAGTCGTCTGATTCTTATTCCGCTGTCATCTCTGAAAAAAGTTGGAGCTTCTCACATTGAGTGCCTACAACTGCAGTTTCATCCGCATTAGCAGCTGCACTTCACGTCTGTTCCTCGGCTCCAGAGCTGCTACTGCGGAATTATGATTAGTCCAAAGTCTGGATTTGCTTTTAGAAAATCCCTTCTGCAGAAAACGCACCAGTTTTGGTTTCCCCTTGTCACCTGTTTAGACTGGTTCCTCTTTCATTAAAAAGAGGAACTTAAATTTAGACTGGCACAGTTTGGGTTTTCCTTCTCCCACCTGAGTGTGTATTTGAAATGTGCAGTGTGTTAACTCGCAGCTTTGCCCTCTTCTCTTGCATTCAGGAAAGGTGGATGATCTCTAGTAGAGCTTTTGCATTTTTAGACTTTGACTTTATTCTCTAAAGAAATAATTGAAAATTGAACAGGTTTGCATAGGGAAAATATCTTTAAAGAAGTTGTCTGTCTGTCTTACTCCCATGTGGACATGGGAGTAGTGAAGAGCTGAGCCTACAGCTGTTTGAGTGTGTGGTCCTATTTAGTGTGATCCAGTGGTGTCTTGCTGTAGGTGCCAGCAATCAGTCTGTTTGCTTGCCCATCAAATCAGGTCTATGCTTCACCTGCAGGATAATTCTTGCCTGTTTTCTACTACCTACTTGCTTTTTCTCATGGAGATGTCCACACACCAATATTCTCATCTATCTACTAATCCCTCTAAAATCAGACCTGCTGCCTGAGCATTTCTTGACCCCGAAGGCTGTGCGGTGCCCAGTCAAATGTCGTGGCAGTCCTGCAGCGCAAGCGTTAGCTCAACGCCGCTGCCAGAGTAGATTCAACAAGCCCTGGTGTAACACAGTTCTCTCAGCCCCCGAAAAATCAATGTGTGGACAGAGCATCGCTGTGACTGGCTCTGCCCTTGAGTATCCTGTAGCTTTTGGAGCAGCTTGATCATGTTACGAGCTTTGAGTTGTCCACGTCTTGTACAGCAGCTTTCGTCCTCAAAGCGCTTTGCGGATACTAATTTGCAAGTATTAACCTTTGTGCTGCCTATGCAAGGCAGATTAGCGGTGTTTCTGCTTTGTAGATAAGGAAACTGAACAAGTTATGCAAATCGCTGGGGCAGGGGGAGTCCAGTACTAGTTCTTGGTTTGCTGCCGGTGGCTCCTGTACACCAGCTTTAAGTTTTAGCTTCTTGGAAAACGATCTCAGGGCACTAGAGATTATCCGTAAGACTGGAAGCGGTGACCCTGCAACCGTCCGCAGAGCAGAGGCATGGGGGTTGTAGGAACTGATGTTGGAAATGCGGTTTGCCAGTTTTTAATTCAGTAAATTACTTACCAAGTGTTACCGGCATCTGAACCAGATGTTAATTTTACATCAACATGATGAGGCAGTCATTACAAAAAATATGGTGTGTCCATCCTTGGTGAAGAAGCGTCAGAAATGGGTTGTGGCCTGGGTTGGATAGCCTCTGAGAGCAGAAGAAACCTTTCAAGTTCAACTCATTTGATAGCAATATCCTCTGGTTGTTTATGAAGCGATTGTGCCCTATTTAAAAACCCCTCTCATGCAGTTAAAAGCCAATAAATCTAGTCAACGTTATCCCACTGCCTGATGGTGAGAGCTCTCCTCTTTGACGTGAGGACACTAGGACGAGCTGTGGAGGGCCTGATTTCTTGCTGTAGCACTAACCCCTCTGTCCACTTGTCTTGCGGCAGGGACTATGCCACGGCAAACCTGAGCGTGAATCTCTATACTGTGAATGAGCCCTGGCTGTACTCCATCCTGTGGTGCGCTGGCGTCCAGTCGGTCACCTCCGACAGCTCCCACGTCCTTCGCAAGGTGCCTTCTCCCATCTGGCTAATGGTAAGCACGATGCCTGGGAGCACACCGCAAGTCCCTGGAAGGAGAGGGGATGGCAGAGGGGTGGAAAGGTGGCCATCGACCACCGAAGCCGTACGGCTAATGGATTTCTCCAGAAAGGTTTGGTTAGGTTCAACGTGCTGCTGGGATTGAGGGTTTTTGCTTTCTGTATGTCCACGCACTGAGCTGGCAACAGATCTCCTGCGTCATCCCGTGCTTCAGGTGGCCTCCGTCTCCCCTCATGCAGGGCTTGGGGGCCTTGGAGACTGCCCGTTTTGCCCACGTGCTTTTTCCTATTTCCTCTCAAGGAAAAACACCTTTCCAGACCTGTTGAGTAGCTGTTTGAGTTGCAAGAGAAGCAGGCACGCAGGTGAACCAGCTAACCTAGCTTTCAGGCAGGCTGTGAAAGCTGCCTTTTTGCCTCCTTCTCCCCCTCCCAAAAAAGGACAGATTTTACCTCTGACTGCCCCATTGCTGGACAAGGACAGCCAGAGACCGAAAGCAGCCCCTTGTCCTCCATCACATAGCTCTTTCACTCAACTCTCTGAAAGCCTGGCTAGCATTTTAGGTTTCTGAACCAAATGGAAATATTTGTGTCAGCATGTAGGGCAAATGGGAAATGGTGAAATAATTGCACCAAAGTATTCCCCAAATAAAAGCTCAGCTGCAGAGGTGTAAGCGCAACTCTTCTTTTGTTGATATATCCTGTTGGGGGTAGGACAGGAGGAAGCTGTTTCGTCTTGTGCTCTGACGGATCTGCCTAGGGAAGGGAAGAGCAAATGAGTCTAAGGAGAAGAATTTAACAGGTGTTAGAGAGTTAACTGTTTGGAAATATTCCTCGGAGCCGAGAGCCAGTGTTACACAGTATTGATGCTTGGTTTGAAGGGTTGCAAACGTGAGGGTTTTAGGAATAGGGTGTAGGCTGTGTGAAGTTTGTGACAAACACAATAATCCCTCTAAAACAGCCCTATCTGAAAAAGAGGAATTTTTAGTGAAATGTAGCAACGCTGGTGGTGGGAATAGCAAATTCCTGTGCAGGTCTTGGAGTGGGCGAGGCAATACAATGGGTTGTCTCCACACAACGTATGTTTTTGCTGGCCCGTGCCCTTCCTCAACAGAGCCGGGGTGGCATCTGCTCACTGGGTGTTCCTAATGACTATGCGTGTTGGGTGTGTGTCTTTGGAAAAAATACAATTTTCCCCTATTGATAATCTTGCAATTGCAGATCTGAGCTCACAAAGCCTTGATTTGGTGTGAAAACAGATAGCTTTGAGCTTTTTACAGGACTTTAAAAAAAAAACACCTATAATCATCAACACAGGGTCCTGGTATTAACTGCCCACAGCACTGAGTGCATGTCCACCTATGGCATGGTATACATGCTGGGAAATGCAACTCTTACCCCACAGGAAATCCTGCTGTTTTGGGTCTTTCCTTGTGGAATACCAAGGCTTGCACAGAACAAAAAGTTTGGATGTGTAGATTTTGTTCTAAACTGGGAGACTTTTGAGTTTTCATTCAAATTACTTAGTTATGATTGCATTCTCCTGCAAATGGGAACACAATCAATTTGTATCTATTGATCTTAAGAGATGCGGCAAACATAATATTACAGCCAGATCTTCATGCAATGTCAACGCCATGTCAGATGTCACCCTTCTATAATTAAGAGGGAAAATATAAGGATTACATCTCCATGCGAAGCACTGGCTAGTTTAAGCATTACACAGCTAATTCTGCAGTATGCTTTCACAGTATAAATTAAGACCCGTGAGGAGGTACAGAACAGAAGGAAACCCAAGCTGTTCTGTGCTAGAAGATGGAGCTAGCGTAGTTGATGGCTTCAGACTGGTTCATCTGTGTCACCCTACCTTTGATGAATGCACCCACTTGCATTATGGCTTCTGCTTTTCTAATGAAATATTACTTATGTGTGTTAATGCTGGTATTGGTGGCTGTGATGGATCTGTCTGGTGTGGTCTGCAGTCAGTGACCTTTTCCTGGTTTGGACCATGTTCTTCCGGCTTGGGCTGGCAAAGCAGAAGTTGATTAGCTATTGCGGATGGCTCTCCCCAGTTGGTACCCTCTGAGCACCACCAGGAGTTGTTTATTATTAATTATCCCTTGACTTTGTCTTTCAGTTTTTTCTTTCCTGGGCAACCCAAAAGTGAATGTGAAGCAGCATGCTCCTATGCTAGGTTCAGATGGTTGGTGTGGTGATGATAGTCACTTAAACTAGCAAACGGAGACAAAATAGCTTACAACCCCTGACTTACCTGTACGTTAAAGGACAGAAATTGAAAAGTACGTGCTTAAAGTGCAGAGGGCTCCCTTCCTCTGCAGGGACTGTGCTCAACCGTAAACATCAGAATAAGCTCGACCATGAACATCAGAATAAGTAATGCTTATTCTAGCAAAGCATTCGAAGCGGAGCCCGAATGTTTCATGTGTAGAGTGTGTGTATATATATAAATTTCTTCTGTTCTTCCAGGCTTGGATTTCCAAATAGCATCTTACCTCACCTAGCGGTACAGTTGAGATAGGAAACTTTCAGCCCACAAAGCTCTGAGAAAATGTGAGGGACAATTTTAAACTTTCATGTGCTGTTTGCAGTCTTTTCTGATGAAGTCATTTTGAGTGATGTGCTAACATTAGAAAAGAACAGAGCTACAGGGGTCACATGTAAATCACAAGGTTTATGACATTTCACTCTACCCTGGTGATAACTTGACAATACGTGGTCTCTGTGTGATTGTACAAAGCGAAAGGTATAAGGTCTGCTTCTCTTTTTTTTTGTCTTCCAGCCTCCAGACGAGTACCGTCTAATCTGGATCACATCTGATCTCATTTCATTTATCGTAATTGTAGGAGTTTTTATATTCCAGAAGTAAGTAGCATTGTTACAGCTGAACTCTCATGTATTTGTGGCATGTTCTTTCCACTCCTGAGATAAGATATTGAACTAGATGAGGTCACTACTGCTTCTTGCTGAGAAGAATGATAGATCTCAAAATAATAGTGATAGATTCCTTATGGATGCTCATAAATGTGCGTGGGAGAGAAACTGTAAATACTTCGGGGAAGTGGACATTGAGGAAGATTGAAATGCTCTAAGGGAAGAAGAGGAAATATTTTGAGATTCCATGGTTATAGTTTTCAAGAAGGACATATTATAATTTGAGAAAGCTCTATATTTGGGCATTTTTAAAGTCAGTTTGTTTCCATTTGAAAGACAAAATGGAAACATTTTTGGGAGGACTCAAAATTATTATGATTTAACAGATCAAAACAGTTACTTTATATATTGGCCTTAGCCTGATGCATGGAGAGAGTCTCCCCGCTTTTCCAAAGATGAGAGAGAGCAAGGATTTAATGTGTTTTCAAAACAAGCATGGAACAGAAAACCTAGGAGCAAGGCAAGTTAAGACAGTGATGAATTGGTAGGAGACAAATCAACTTCCTAATGACAGACCTGGCCAAACTGCCCCCCTCTTGATTATACTGGAGGAAACCATGATGTCCTCCCGCTGATGTGCCTTTTCTCCCAAGAGGCATTTAACTGTCAGTGACGACAATGTAATAACCCTCTCTGGGAAAGCGTGAGCTGAAGAAGGGAGGTGCATTCCCTGAAAAGAAAAGCAGAAGACTTCTCCTAGGAGAAGTGTCATTTGGAAACTGCACTTGTTGTTCCCCTACCTTTATAATCTCATCTACTTTGGCATGCACAAACTACAGTCCTAGAGATATCGAGGGACCTGCAGTTTCCTTCCTTACTGACACCCAAAATGCCCTGTCATTAGGAGCAGCAATGTCATCTGCTTCAGCCTTGTGAGCTAGTGATTTTACTGTCACATCATCCCAAATCACCTGCTTGCAGCGATCCCCTTCCTTCCCCAGGGTGGGTAATTTCCTGGGTTGTTTTTGCCCTGGTACAATAGACTAGGTTTCAGGTGAGATTTTGGGTCTGTTATACCTCATGAGATGCATTCGGCTCTGTTATAATTATGTCTCTCTGAATTCATGACTTGCGTAGTTCCAGGCTGGTGGACCTGTGCCCAGCAGGTCATTGACTCCAGCACAGGATAACAGAGCAAGAGGAAGGTTCAGAATTGTCCTTTCAGATTAGATTTCCCAACATTTAATGAAACCAACACCAAAATGAGTTTGGCAACGTGATTAGAATTTTGCCTGGGTGATCTTAGATCTGAAGGACATGGCTTGCCCTCAAAATATGTATCGTGACATGGGCCACGGAGTACTGAGCTGGAATAAAAAGTCTCATGGTTTGAGTTGCAGCCAATTAAAGCCTTAACTCCAGAAGAGCATCATAACTGTGTTGTCTGAAAGCTTCCTCTGCCCCTTCACATTGATAATATGAGATTTCTCTTATGATGCGGTCTAATAGGAGATTTTCCCACTCTTCATTCTTACTGTATCAGATACAGAAATGCACTGAGGAGTCTGGAGGAAGAGGCAGGTCTCTTTCTGCTCGAGAGCAGAATTTGTAAACCAAGGTGATGCGATGTTTGCAGAGTCTTTCGTGTCATTCCCCCAAAGCACTTTTCAGCAGGCTTTCTGAATCTGACCCAGAAGACCATGGATAAAGGAATTAAACTGATTCAAATTGCTGAATGTGAGCTACAGGTCCCAAAAGAGGATGAAATGATGCATTGCTTGGAGAGAGGGAGAGAAGTTGCAGCTATGTGGCCTTTGCAATAGCTGGCCTCTTCCTCTCTGCATGGACTGAATTTCTTCCAATTTGGAAGTGGTTTGATAGGGTAGGGAGTGTGGAAGCAGGGTAAGAGGGGAAAGGATGATTGATTGCTGTGGGATTTCTGTCCTGCCCAAGGGGAAATCTGATGCAGGCAAGGACAGTTGTAAGCTGCCACTAGCTTTCCCCAGGATTTATTTACCTGCAGTACTGAGCAGCCTGCCCAGCCTCTGGACCTCTCACATAAAAAGCAGTTGCTCAGAGAGGTCTAGCCATGTGGGGTCCATCAGTAGCAGGGTCAAGCTTCATTTTTTGGATCACTTCATTGGGGCAACTCTGGTCATGAAACCCCCAAGTCAGTAGAAGGAAGAAGAAGAAATACTAGCACCATAAAGTGGACTTTTTGCAGGAAAAGTCTTATTATTCCAAGCGCTCCTACCTTGTGCATCCTGCTCAGGAGAGACCTGTTTCTCTGCTGTCCGTGGCATCTCCACCATGTAGAAGTATTGGTCGCTGTGTTGAGGGTATACCAAAAACCGGTTGTGGCAGAATTGCCCAGCTACCTGTAGATGTGGTTCAGAACTTGGAAATGGGGCTTGGCCTTTGGCCTTAAACATGTCATTCTTTTTTTTTTCTTTGTTGTTGTGTTGCTTTGTTTTGTTTTTCCAAGTCCTTTCTGGGGCAAAACAAAAGCTGCTTCCTCCACGCAAAGACGAGGGGGGTGGGTGGGAACAGAGCCACCGCTTCGATGTGCTCGTTCTCTCTCCTACGCATGGCTTTTCTCTCTTCCGTAGTCACGGTAGGAATTGCTCATGCTGTTCTGCTTCCGCCCCAATGACAGGATCTGTGCAGCCTCTCTGGAGAGGAAATACCAACTGTGATGACTTCTAACCAATCTTTTTTGCCTCTTTGCCTTGTTTATTTTCTTACTGCTCTGACTGTTGTGCATGTTCCTCCTCTTTCTCTCTCTGCTGCATTCTGGCATCTCACAGCTATCACATGATCAGGTAATTCTGGTGCTTTCCTCTTCTTTCTCTTTTTCATTCAACCTTCCTTTCTCTGTCTTTGTCCCTCTCTGCTACGGCTTCACTGCAGATGGACAGTGCAGAATGCAGCTTTTAACGATGCTTTCAAACATCCGGCTTCACACGGGACCCTGAAAGTCTGAACGTTGCATGGTCTGTAATCATGAACACCTCGAGAGCCTGATGCTGAAGCCTGTGGGTGTGTTGAAGGCAATCTGATGTTCTGAGATGCTGCCCTTTAAAGCTGCCCTATTCTAATGTCCTGTAGCGTGCTGTAATTGGGAAACTCCCTGTGGACATGGTGCTTTCCAAACAGAAGTGATCTCACTGCAAAAGGATCACCCTTCTTACTGCAGTCACCAGAAGTTTTTGAGTCCAGCCTGCTCTAAGTTGGCCAGTTTGGACTTACCATTGATATTTGAGACTTTTAGCTTGCCTATCCTCCCAGAAATATTAAAATCATGGCAAATGGGCAATGAAGAAGCAGTGAGTTTGTCATGGTATGCTCATCTACCCCAAGTGCATGTTTTAGCAACAAATTTTAGAGACTGGGGCTTTTCTGTGCGCCTATGTTTCATTCCTTTTCCCTCCTGGTGGAAGCTGGCCGCAAATCCCTACTTAACACCCTGGGCCAGGCTCTGCTCTCTGTTTCCTGGGGGAAAGGAGTTATTTTGGATATCTGTGGTTTCTTTGAGGTGTCCGCGTGGTTCTTGTTGTTACTGGCTTTGTGCTTCCACCAGTGAAGCTTCAAGGCTTCTAAAGAAAAATGTAACTTTGTTCAGGTCTACAGAGCATCATTTGCAGCCCTGCGAATGAACCAGTAGGGAATGAAAAGGTTTGGCTCTTCTGCTACTGCACTTGTTTGAGCTTGGGATCTTTCAGGAGCCTCTTCCCAGTTACAGCACTACAGAATTAGAAATAAGGTGTGAAAATAAATAGCGTTGTACCCAGGAGGGAAGTGAGCCTGGGATGCTGAATTTGAAGATCCCTAAATTCAAAGCCCAGATTTCTCCTTATATTGGCTGTTTTCTCCTCAGTAGCTTTTATCCCCTTGGAGGGAGGCTCTATCGTCTTTCTGCAGTAAAGCCTTCACCACTTCTGTACTCGGACCAAACTCTTTGTGTGTTACCTTCTCTGTTCCTTTTGCTTTGAGTGATGGGGTCGTATTTCTGAGGACCAGCTACTCTGTGTGTGCCCTTACCAGGCCCTCTCCCTCTGCCCACCCACCACTTCGGGGCTGGGGTTTGCCACCTGTAAGTATTGCCTGCCCCACGAGGTGCCCCGAACTCGCGTGCCCGGTGTCGATCCGCAGAGGGCCGTTCTGCGATACGGCGGCCTTGCGTTACCTTCCAAGGTGAGACCTAGCTACGGGGCCAAGCTGAGCCCTCCTTGGCCCCCTCTCACCTCCCCCTTGCTCCTAGGCTTGCACATGTGGTTGAGGGAGAGGAGAAGGGCGCAAAGGAGTTGGGCAGGCTTCACGTGAGGGCAGCAGCAGGACGCGGATGCTCTGCATTTGTGGCTGGCTTGGCTCTCTGCTCCCCTCCATCTCTCCATCTTGGCACCAATCTACCCCAGTTGCTCCTCAAACTGCCCTCCCCCATCCCCTTTCCATGCTGTTTAGCATCTCCCCTCCAAACTAAGGGCTCTAGTTGTTGCCCTAACATGGTGTGTGCTGTCTGTGTGTCACTGCCCCAGTGTTTTTCAGTCTGTCCCACCCTGTGTCCATGTGGTCTGCTTTGATGCCAGTGTCTCAGAACAAGACCTACCTGCTCTCTGTCTGGCACAGCGAGCCCTGCTCTGGCCGGGCCTTTTTGCACACTGCTGTCCTAAACATGCCTGATAACAGTGGTGTCCAAGCGGGTAGGAAAGGTGCTATTTTATAGTAAATAAGCTTCCTGGATCTCCAAAGCCTCCTGACTACTGCAGGCAATGTTTCATATGGCATTAGCTGGAGCTGCATCACAGTGGAACGTACTGGTGGCTCTTGCGCTAAGAGGATATTTCAAAAAAGCCTTGAAAATAGGGATGGTTGGTGAGAGCCTGATTTCCTGTTGGTAGCTGCCGCACAGGAGCTAAAAGAATAACTGCACTATCCCTGAAAACTTGATCTGGTTTTGATATTGCTGCTTAGGTGTTTCTGCTTTGCAAACATATCCCAGCTGCTACCCCTGCTCTGCTCCTCTTACCTCGAGGTGAAATTCCCTCCTGGATCCCTAGAAAGTCTTGGCTTGACCTGCCCTCCCCCCTGACCCTGGGTTGGCCCTGCTATGGGTCCCCTGATTTTTTGGGAGTGGGGACTGTCAGGGTGCCTGAGGTGAGTATATCCCAGCTCAGGCTGGTGCATAGGCCACAGAGAGCCACCACCCAGCAAAGCAGTCTGAGCAGCTGAGTTGTGTTTCCTGCCCCCAGCTTATTCAATCAGAGCAATGCACTCCTATAAGAGGGATCACAGGCCCCTTGTGCTGTTAACTGGCCTGGGTCTGACCACAGCCACCGTGTGAGATGGGGAGAAGAGAGCTGTGAGTATCTCCCTTGGTAGGAGGAGGAAAGCCCTCAGTCCCTCCACCTCTTTGATGCTCGTGCCCTCCATGGGACATCAAGGACTGTGGCAAGAGACCTTCATGTCCTCCAGCCAAGCAACCCAGCTCGGTGCTGAAAATTCTGCTATTGTAGGCACAAAAAGACTCAACTCTGGAGCAATATATTTTGTTCTTGATTATAGTTTAGGACGGTCTCATCCTACAAGCTCCTAAGTGATTGCAGTCCCACTGACTGTAGTGGGAGCTACAGGTAGGTTAGCTATCTGCACAGGACACTAAGGGCAGAGACATTTTTCTTCCGAGTGTGGCTCAGCTTAGATAATGATGGAAGCAAATGGCTTTAATTTTCTTATTTTAATCTTTTTAGGCTTTAGTGGCTTCTCCACCTCCTTGTACTTCCTCTGTGTTGCTTCTGTCTGTGGGGCTGTCAAATGTGCAGCTTTATCATCCCATCCCCTCTTTACTCTGTAGCAGAGCAGCCTTCATCCATGCCCCAGTCAGAGCCTGACAGTGCAGGGAGCTGGGAAAGGGCTGGAAATCCTACGACGTCAGCACCAGATAGATTTTCCTGGCAAAACCGCAGAACCTCTTCTGCGAACGTTATTTTGTCAGGCTGATGCTGTGAGCCCAGTCCAGAGATGCTTGGGACTCCTTAAATCCTCTGCAACCAGTTGTGGGAAGGAGGATAGAAAATTAGGAGGAAGTGATTGCCCCCTAAAACTCACCTTATTTTGTGTAGGTAGGCCACTAGATGGTGCCAGAAGATCAGAAACCTTAGAAGCCACCCGAAATCTGTGCCGTTTCTCCATCAAATGGCACCCTAACATCCCTGGCTCCTGCAGGGAGACTTGGAATAGCCTCCCGAGGGGTGCAAGCCTGAAAACCTTCCTCTGTGGTCAGGAGGTGGGATTTGAGCTGGGCAAGCATGGCCTGAAGACCATCCCTTTGTGAAGGGATCTTGGGTATGGCCTCTTTGTCTGAGCCTGCCAAACCCTGCTGCACCACAGCAGCCTGCCTTTTGCTCTTCAAGCAGATCCGCAGCCAAGCATCCCTGTGGGACAGAGGAGCTCCCAGGCTGAGAAAAAGCTTTAAAAGCAATGTCCCCTTTAACTTGCTGCCACCACTCTTTGCTAACAGCAACCATTTTCTTTATTCAGTAATGGGGATAAAAACCTGGCTGATTTTTAACTTGCAGCCAGGTTCCCATCAGCCTCGTTTTGTTTATGTGGTGGAAACTTCTGGCAAATGCTGAGTTTCACTAGGGCTTAAAAAGTGTAGGTTCTGGGGTAGAAACAGCTACCAGGCTTCTGGATCCTGGTCTGACAGCATAGGCTTCATCCCTTGCTATCTTCCAGCCTCAAGCCCTCTCTGGCTGGGGAGAGGAGTTGGTGAGGATGCTTAACGAAAGACCCCCATGGTATTTGGGAAGGGAAGTGCTCTAGGAGAAACTGTGTTAAGGGACACCTTATTTGACAGCTACCTGTGTTGGGACTGCTTGTACTTTCCTTCAGAGCACCTTGCCCCAGTGTCTCTTTGCTGCGTGTCTCACGTTTGAGACCTTAGTTTGTCTTTGAGCTCTCTCTTCCCACAAGTGTGAGCATGTCACACTGCAAAGAAGAGGTCATGATTTCCTTTAGTTGGCTCAGTCTTGTGTTCCTCTCCCTCTTCCCATCCTCAAGAGTTGATATAGTTCACCTGTGGTCATGCCTTAGGGCAGCTGGGTAGCTGATGTGATGCAAATCACTTCTGGGTATGTGTGGTCATTGGTGAAATTTGTGGATTGGCACTGCTGGAATCAGGATGTTCAAGTGCTGAAAGATGGCTGGGTTTTTATGCCTGTAGTCCCCTGATATGACATGCTCCTTCTCATCTCTGAACATCCACCCACCACGTGGGGTTGTGTAGATGCAAGGGAGCAAAGGCATCAGGGTCTCCGGGACTTGCCAGTCTCCATGTTGGTGGCCGCTTGCCTTGAGAAGGCTCCTGAGGTTGGGGAGACCAGCCTGTGACATCCTCCTCTTCTCTTGCAGGTGGCGCCTAGGAAGCATCAGGACGTACAACCCGGAGCAGATCATGCTCAGCGCTGCTGTGCGCCGATCCAGCAGGGACGTCAAGATTATGAAGGAAAAGTTGATCTTCTCAGGTATGCAGGAGACAAGGCAGGGGCTGGTGGGATGGAGCTCTCTGCTGTCACCCTGCTCTCTGCTGGTGGAGGAGATGGTCTTGGTGGAGGAGATGGTCTTGGTGGAGGAGATGGTCTTGGTGGAGGAGATGGTCTTGGTGGAGGAGATGGTCTTGGTGGAGGAGATGGTCTTGATCTGTGTGGCATCTCTTACCGCACACAAGACAGTGCGGCTGGGCTGACCCAGCTGCACTGAACCACGTGTGGGATTTGGTGTCAGCTCACCTATCTCAGACTGCTTCTGAGCCTTGATTTGCTCAGATATCCTCCATTTAACTTCCCAAATTGTGCCACGCAGTGCGCTCGGACATCCCACAGCTTCACACACAGTTGATGATTCAGAGGGGAGAACGTCTATAAAACAAACTAAAATAGCAACATCCTAAAACACTAAGTTGCCATGAATAGTGGTGATGAGTTTGAGGTGGACTTGGCAGTCAGAGGCACTAGAGTTTGGGGGGGTCCCGATGTGCCCTTGCTCCGCTCAGCTTTTGTTTGCATTGGTGTGTGTTGGCTCCCTCCACGGGGGCACCTTTCCCCCATGCCCATCTCAGCACACCTCTAAAAAAGCTCTCAGAAACGCGTACAATGAGAGAAACGTGTTCGGCTTTGAAAGATAAAAGTTAGTGCATTAAGCTGGAAAGCTTGCATTTTAAGGAATGTGAATATAATCTCCCCCCTTGGTGTTTTTTTTTAATTGGTTTTCTTTCTTTGCATAGAAAGAAATGTAGGGGACTGGAGACCTCCAGCAGGGATCAGGATTTATTGTACTGGGCACATACAGAACGAAAAGACAAGTCTCACTTCAAAGAGCTTATTGTGTGGAATGCAGGCCTGATTCTGCCCTCCAGAGGCGAAGAAAATTGGGAGCAAATCTAGTAAACCCGGAACGAGAAAGCCTTGTTAGTCCTATTAGAATTAAGCCTCCCTAAAATATTCTAGACATAAAATGCCCTTAGAGGTAGTGTTGCATATCTAAGTTTCATGCCTCTGACACAAATGTTTTCACTTCGGATTGGTGCTTACAAATAAAATGTTGGCAGAGGAGCATTTTTCCCAGAGAATCCAGGAACTACAGGGGTTCACTCCATTTCCAGAATGACAATCCAGGTGGAGGAGATAAGAGCATCCCTTGAATCCTCTAGCAAAGGCAGGCAATTCAGCCCGTGACAGTGTCCCCTGTTTTTGGGAGTCCCGTTCCGCCCCTCATGGTGGCAGGATCATCAAGGTGTGAGATGTAGAGGTGACATCCTGCTGGGAACCAGATCCTGTTCAGATTTGGCATAAGAAGGTGTAAACGGAGAGTAGTATTTCTAAAGCCCAGGGGGGAAGTCCTTGTAGGGGCCTTGTTCTGCATGTGGCTGCTGTGCTGGAATTTCATGGCTGCTTGGTGCCTCAGTTTCCCCATCAGTGCCTGGCGGGAAAGGCTGCGAGCTGCTGTGGGTCTCTTTGATGCTTTTATTGTTTTTTATTGGCGCTTTGACGGTGTCTCCCCTTTTCTGCCTTGGCCAGAGATCAACAACGGCGTGGAGAACACGGACGAGCTGTCGCTCTGCTCCGAGAACGGCTACTCCAACGAGATGGTGACCCCCACGGATCATCGGGACACCAAGCTGCGGATGAAGTGAGGAGCTCGGACCCAACGCCACAGCATGGCCAGCTCCCCACTTTCCCTTCGGCAGTGAGAGCCGTGCTCTCCTGCCTGCTCCGAGACGGGAACCTTTGAGGAACTGCTGGTCGGGCAGACACCCCTTCCCGTTCTCCCATCGGTGGCCGCTCCACCTCCCTGGTTGTGAGGTCGAGGGGCTTTTTTGTATATATGTAGAAAGTCCAGATTTTTTTGTCGTCTTTGTTTCTTTTTTTGGAGTGTACCTGTTTTTCAAGGGCATGAATGGAAATACCTTGTTCATTAAATCATTTACCTTATGGCTGAAGTTATTTGCATCGTGATGTGACAGCCTGAGTCCCCTTGGGGAGGCCGGGGAAAGCAGGTGGGACGCGGCTCCCCTTTCTCTTCCCACTCAGCTCCAATCCTTTCCTCGGCGCAATGACTGCGTAGCTGAACTCTGTTTAAAACGTACCTTGTGAAGTTCTTGTGAAGTGTCATTTTTATTCTTTTTTTTATTATTTTTTCCCTTCCTGGGCAATGAAGTTTTAGCTCTGCTTTAACAGGAGGCTGTTTGGAGGAGAGAGCTTTCCTAGGAGAGAAGATAGCGCTGCTCTTCCCTGCTGAAGTTCAGAGCCGGAGGAGGAATTGCACTGGCTTGTTTGTTTGGGCACTTTCTCCCTCTCCCTCCCCCTTTCCCAAAATGATGCTTTCAGGAGAATGGCCTTTTTCGAAGCGAAATGACCTGTCGCAGTCTTAAGGCAAATGGCTTTAAATTGGTCTCTGCTGGCGGCAATGATTTGGTTTCAATTTTTTTCTCTCTCTCCCCTGGGTGGGGCTCTATCGAGAGCCCTGATGGCTTGCATAAAGCAATGTCATGGGCGCCAACGCCGCTCAGATATCTGGCTAAAGTGCCTGCCACTTCAAGTGGCATTTGCAATCGCTCCTGGCTTGCCTGTCCTTGCACCCGCTAAGAAGAGATGGCGCTGCAGTGTGAGCTTCCCCCTTTTGGGCAAGCAGATACCTGTGGGTAAAGGCTTTGTAAATAGTTTGGCAGGGGAAACGGCTTGGGAGAATAATTGATTCCTGCAAGGAGACCTTATCTCCTTGCTTTCAAAGCAGAACCTTCTCGAGGCTGCCTGTTATTGTCCTCCAAAGGAGCGACAATCTTGCAGCAGATGCTGAGGGGCTTGTGAAGTCGAGAGCTCTCATCAGCATTTTTCCAATGCAAGAGGCTATAAACCAAAATCCTAGACCAGAAATTAAAAAAAAAAAAAAAATCTCAGAAACTAAGATTACAGTTGCATTTTTCCCCCTCCCTGCAAGAGCTCGCAGCCAGCCCAAGGGCAGTCTCAGCTCTCTGCTGTTATCCTTCAAGGCCTCACTGAGAGGAGCCTGTTTTTGGGTCATGTTGCTGTTCACACGGAGCCGGTTCCCAAGGCAGCTGAAGCCAGCTGAAAGGCTGCCGTTGATGTGAATGGGTTTTGGCTCAGTCGCCGCGTCCTTCCGGTGTGGGGTTGCTTCCTTCCTTGCCGCGTCGCGGTTGACACAACGTGCAATATGAGAAATCCCATTGATCGTGGGCTTCCTTTGAAGTTTGATGTGCGCTGCCTTGAAAACGGGAGTACGAGAGTAGTTTCCTGTGGAAGGAGCGGGGCTTCGAGCGCCAGCTGGGCCAGGGCTTCTCTGCAAAGCCTGCCTGGTAACTGTAAGAAGTGACCTCGCAGAAGCGAGGGGTGTTTTTGGGGTGCTGGTGTGCATCACGTTAGACACCAAATGTAGGCTTGGTATAGCCAGAAGCAAGCTGATGCAAGTTCTTATCACAGCAGCACTAAAATGCTAATCTTTTAACTGTAATCCGGTAGTTTTTTGGCCAGCTTTGCTGTGTACGAGATACGAAATGAAGCAAAATGTGAAAGCGACAGAAGAAAAACGCTCCTGCTAATAATGGAAGCAAGTCATTAAACCTTAATTGTGATGCTTTAATGTGCACTCCCTAAGCAGTGCAAATCAGGACTTTAAATCATTTGCATCTGCCCTGGGTTTTTTATGAATGTAGGTGGAGTAAGGCCCCTGTCCATGCTCCCTCTTGCCTACCCCAATGCGCTATCCTTTCGCATAATACTCAAGCCTAATTAAAAAAGGTGTGTGTGTGTGTGTGTGTGGTTTTTTTTTTTAATCCTGCAGAACTGCCAGATTTTGGTGGAATTGAAGGCCTTTGAGAACATGTTGCTTCTCCCTTAAACGTGGTGCTGTATTGAAACATTCCCGGCAGATTGTCGTTGTCAAGTGAGAGACATTGTTAAATCTTGGCATCTGTTGATAATCACCTGCATGTTCTGTTTTTATCCTTGAAGATGGTTTTGTTGAAAGGTCAAGTGCTTAAAAGCTTGGAAGTGTTAAAAGTAATGCAATGAAGAGTTGTTGGGGTTTTTTTTGTTTTTGTTTTTTTTAATAACAAGTCCCAAACCTTATGCATAATGCACTGACTGTTACTGTTATTCTCCTGAAGATTTGCTACCTTTTTTAAAAAAAAAAAAAAGGATGAGACTTTTTTGATGAAAATAGAGCTAGACCAAAATAAACTTTGCAATGCTCTGTGAAATAAACTGTCAGTATTCCCCTGCCGCTCTGTGACGTTGTCGTGTGTTTGGGGCTTGCTTGCAGTGTGGTGATGCCTTGCTTACTGTATCGTTGGCCCTGACCTCCCCATGCTTCTCCTTGTTAGTGCTTTGCAGGGGACCCACGGGCACTTTTGGGAGATGGTCTGCCCAGAGGAGCGTTTGGAGATCCGTCCTTGCGATCAATGCAGTTGTCTCCCATCCTCTCTTCCATCCAGATTTGATACAATAGTAGCTGAAAAGCAGTTGAGTGGGGTGGAGATGACCCAGCGGAGCTGTGTCTTGAACAGTAACTACAGAATAATTTTCACTCCTTGGGCCACAGAGGGGGCCAATGATGCATCCGTATAACTGATCAGGCAGCAGTTTTAAACCAAACCAGCGTAAGCAATTTATTTTTAATACGTGTTATGCAAGTCATTGCCCCAGGGTGCTTTGAAGGCCAAAAGCGTAAGCAGGTTCAAAGAGGAAGAAATGGCTCATATGGCCATTAGCAGCTTTCAAATACAGCAGTCCAGACACGACTTCCAGCTTGGAAAGTCCCTGAGAGCTCTTTGCTGAACGTTTATATTAGGGGAAAGGCTTGCTTGGTGCTTGCTCTCTTTCTTGTAATGTGCTCCAGGATCTGGTCCCAGTTGCAGACAGAGGATGCTTTGGGTGAGGAGGGGAATCTCGTTTGAGCCAGTGTGGCAGTTCTTATAGATTCCTCATCATTAAGCTGCTGTTTTCTGTAGCCTGTGAAAGGCTGCATTTAATTGATAGATGAAAAAGATTAAAGTAAATACTATGTCTCTGACTGGTGATGAGCAGTCAGTACTGTGTCGTGAATTTGACTGGCTCCAGGAACAAACTGTGTGTGTGTGTGTGTGTTAAAAATGAAATAGCCCTTGGGGAGGGGGTAAAGTTCCTGATAGCCCCAGTACTGAGTAATCTGTAACTGGGGGCTGTCATTGCTGTTCCTTAGTGAAAGATAGGGGAAAGCTGAAAGAGGAGGAATGAGAGTCATGTCAGCTGCATCTTATTATTTAAATAAAAAGATGAGGATTGGTCTCTGGCATTGAGCCCAAATGACTTGGGGCAGCCAACATTGATGCTGTTTAACTCTTTCTGCCCCTCCAAAACTGCCCTTGTTTATAAGAGCTTAGTGGTACACCTGAGTGAGTTCTAGTGGCTGTGAACCTTCCTAGCCCCTTAAATTTGCCAGCAGAGTTGTAGTCTTGGAGTCTGGAAAGCGATGCTGATGTGACCATGCCCTAGGCCTATGCAGGCATCTGCCTGAGAAGGAGCTCTCACATATCGGCTAAAGCCTTAATGTGCAGAGTCTAGGAGCTTGGAAAGTTCAAACTGGAAATTGGAAGTCAGGCTGGAGTATGAACAAAAGAAGAAACTTGAGGCTGAAGGCTGGTTCCCTGTCCCCTGGGCTTCTAGAGCAAGGCAATATCTCTCTGGCTGGAGCGCTAGACCAAGCGTTGAGCTCGATGCAGGTACTGACAATGGATGAAACTAGGCTTTTTCCTCATAAGCTTCTCTTGTTTTCTCCCTCTTCTCCTTCTTGAGCCTCGTTTCTGCTCCTGCTGCTTTTCTGCCTTCTTCATCTATTTGATTCTCCTGCTTTGGTCTCTTCTCCTGGTTGCTACTGATTACCCTTTGCTTTTGTTAAGTGACTGAGATGATGTCTTGACACACTCCGTGGCAAGGTGGAGCTGTGGATGGTGTGGCTGGGGCTGCATAGACAGATGTCCTGGACAGGATGTGTTTTCTTCTTTCAAAGCATGAGGTTGGAGGTACAAACCACAGCCCTGGTGACCACCTCCCTCAATGTGTCTCACTGTGGCCTCAGTTATCTGATTTATTAGAAACTCTCTCCTACCTTTCTTCTCGTCTCTTCCGCTCTTTTCTCCTTATTTTCTCTTCAGCTTAGCCACATCCCTTCTCCTTCCTCCTCCTGACACATGCACACTGTTCCTTCAGCAAGTTTTGTTCTCCTGGTCGCCTGCTCTGGAGTCAGCAGTGCAGCCCATTAAGGCTTTCACCGCAGGCTCCTGGAGTTCCTGGACCTACATCCCTTATTTCCATTTTGCATCTTTTTAGTGCTTGTGGCTTTGCACGTCATGGCTTCTGCGGGCCGTCTGCCAAGGGCTGGGCATTTTTAATGTGAAGAAGAGATTTGACAAGGGAGTAGGACTCTCAGCAGTGCACTGCTTTCAGCGTCTGCATCTACCTCGGGAGGAGACCCAGGGCACTTGGAGAGGATGAGAGGCTGGGCTCCTGCCCCTGCACAGAGCATCCTCTGGTGCTGTCTCACAGACACCCCCTTTGAGCACTCCCATGTCCTCATGCAGCCCTATGGGATATTTAATGCCCTAGTTTCACACAAGAAGACCACCAGTCTGGGCTGTAGCACAGCTCTCACATGGTCACAGGCATTTTGGAGCACTTAGCACTGCATGGGGAGATCCAGGGCCAAGTGCAGTGTAGTCAGGCTGTGGTAATCTGCTCAATAGGAGGCTTGGTGTGGGCAACAGGGGCAGTGGCACCCTACAAAGCCTTCTCATTGCAATCGCTTTGCATATTTACAGCATCTTGCTAGTTGGTCCCTCTGTGGCTGCAGCCCCCTGCCTGGAGTTGAGGATTGGCTTTGAGCATGTTGGTAGCCCTGTGTGCTGAAGGGTTCCCGATGCTGACCCATGCTCAGAAGACCTGCTTGTGGCACCCCATGGGGCAGGATCAGCTCTGTGCTCCTGTTTGTCCTGGTGGCCCAGCTCCTAGCAATCTCAGCATACAGAAAAATCAGGTCTGAGGCTACCCTACGTGGCCTGGCACACCAACCTCCACGCACGCCTGGATGCAGCGGAAGCCCTGGACGGTGCTGCCTGGCAGTGCCAGCGCTGTCCGAGCGGAAGATCCTAAGAACAAATCCTTCCTCCAGTCCTCCAGCCCACTGTGCAGGCTGAGAAACCACAGGCTCTTTCCAGGTTACCAGTGATTCATATGCAAATGGTGGGAGCAAGCAAGATGCCAGCTTGTGCCCAGTGTCTGGGTGATGGGAGAGAAGAAAGGAGCCAGCCAGCGAACGTGGCTGTGGTGCCTCAGCGGAGGGGTGGTTTTGCTGGGGTGACAACACACAGGGGTTGATTATTATTAACATTTCCCTGCTGCCTATCATGAAATGAGACAGGTTGTTCAAACTAGTGATGGGTAAGAGAGGGAAGTTGGTCTGCGTTGCACTAGGGGTTTTGATAGTCTTCAGGGCAGCAGTTACTTTGTGGAGCAAATATCAGCTTCCCAAGGGCTCCTTTGATCCCTGCTTTGAGCATTTAAAAATCCAGACAACTGTTGGGGTCAGGTCGCAGGAGAGGATGCGGAAAGCCACACAGGGCAAACCTTTCCTTCTGTCCTCATCTTCCTCATTGGCCTTATTACCACACATTAATGAGGGGCTTTGCAGCTCTTCCCCGTTCCAGTCCGTTCCTGCTCTGGGAGCCTTTCTACTCAAAGAGCTGTATTTTTTTTAATCCTCTTTAGTGTGATTTTCAGTAAGCCGGAGACTCTATCAAATGAATTGTTCCACCTGGACTCCAGTTTGCTCTCCAGATGGCTCTTAAGCTGCCCTGGTGTGATATATTTTTCCCTAAGCCGCTATGGGTTTTCCCTGGGTCCTGGCTCCTCCCTGGCTGGCTGTTATTGACAGCTGCATGGCTAATGCCGTGTAGCTCTCCAGCATGTCATTCAGGAGAAACAAAAGCAGATTTCTCCCCCACCTCTCTGGCAGTGAGGATAAAGGGGATGCTTTTGTGCTTCCTGAAGCATTGCCGGAGAAGGGCTGAGCGTGCCTTACGGCGGCAACCTGTCTCTGTGCAGAGCCCCAACACGGATGTGAGCTCTCCGAGAGGGAAGCTGAGACTTCTCTAGGTCCCACCTGGAGGACGCGACCTGCTGGCCAGGTAACGTTTGATTTCTTGCGCTAGTATCTTGGGAAGCACACCAGAAAAATAAAGCTATCACTGCTGTGTGGGATTCGGAGGGAGAGGGTGATCCAAGGAGGGGGTGACCCGTGGTGAGGAAAACCCACTCCCTCTTCAGCCTCGGCAGCAGTTGCCCTGAGGGTAGACAGGAAGGACGTGAGCTGGACAAAGGTGTCTGGCTTACTCCAGGAAGGGTGGCAGGGGGGTTTCTTTGTATGGAGGTTGGCCCCAGCTGTTTCTTCCCAGCACTGAGCTGTGCAGAGCTGCAAGTGACCCCGATGGCTTGGAAACGTGAGCAGATCAGGGAGAGAAGTGTGGACAAGAGATGTGTTTGTCTTTGCTGGAGCTATGTGTCCCTGTGAAACGCGGAGCTTGCCGTACTCTGTGCAGAAGGCATCTCTAGAGACCTGTCTTTGTTGTAACTTCTCTAAATCACTTCAGACTGGCTAAGAGCATTTTTTCTTCTCTGAACAGCCCTGAGGGCTTGTCAATGGCATTCGGGGCAGCTGGAGCTTTTGCCCATTCCTCCAGGGTTTCTTAGATATTTATATAGTACTTGTCATGCCGCTTTGACTGCTCTTCAGGTCTCCACAACACCCATGTGACGAGGCAGAGCTGCTTTCCCCACTGCTGTGGGATTTTGGAGACACAAAGGAAATGGTGACACTTTCTTGGGATGGAGGGGCGGGGAGAGGATCCCAAGGACCAGACTTGCCTGCCCTACACTCAACTAGCCCAGTAAGGTGCAGCCAGCACGTGTCCTCTGGAGCATGGGAGAATCTGAGCACCTTTGGGGGTCTGAGCCCCAAAGAGCCCCAAAACCAGACTCTTTGCTGTTACCAAGCTTCAGAAAAGCAATCTAAAATCTGCAGAACCAAGATTGGAGCCATGATCAGGCGTTTCCATCCACTCCCGAACGTGGCATCCTCTGCTGGATGCTCCCACTGACACCCCTTCTCCAAGAGTGGTGCTGGGTCTCTGCCCAGCTTTAACGGGCAGGGGGTGGCATTTCTGTGCCCCTCTTATTTAAAGTCTGGCCAGTGAGCGCAGTTGGGCAGATGAGCAGGAATCCAGGTTCGATTCCCTCCTTTCATCCCCCTCGGGGAGCCAGGTCTGTGCACCGGTGATGGGCCAGACCCAGCCTTTGGGCAGAACTGGAAAACTTAGGAAACTTAGGCAGAGCCCAAGTGCTGGGGGGGATCAAGGACTGTGGAGGCAGCTGCAGAGGGTGTGGAAATCATAGGTGGGGGGTCTCTGGTTCAATTGCCATCGTCAAAGATAGTCAGTTCTTGTCACTATGTCAGTGCCGCGATGTTCTTCCCCTTATCAGATCCCCTTTACAGGGAGAAGCCCTTCTCGCGGGGATAAGGGGAGTATGGGGCTCCTGGACAATCTTCCCGGGGAGCTGGCTGCCTCCCTGACCTGTTTGAGCAGGGATCACCCTTTTGGATGTGCAGCTGTTTAGAGTCTCCAGGGTGAGCATATGACTTTTAAAATCACCCAGAGAATAAATCTAGCAGAAAGGTATACCCAGACGTAGACGTCACCCCTACCTTTGGGCAGGTCATATCATAAGTACCTTTGGCAAATCTCAGTCTCATATGCTTACCTCTGGATTTTCTCTTGGAATAAGACTTCTGGGGAAATATGGTGGATATAAAAAGTTAAAATCCTGCATCGTTCCTGACTGGGCTGTACCATGGAACTTTTGTATTTGGCAGGGTGGATAAACCAGCCAACAAAAGTGGCAAAGCATCAGCAAGACAGGAAAGGATGCTGAGGTATTAGCTAGGTGCTCCGATTTGGTTACCCTCTCTGACAGCAACCTTTCTATGTGACCTAAGGAAATAGTCACATATCCTCTCGTAGTTGGGTATTGAAAGCTGGGGACACTACATAGTGGAAAACCTAACTGCCCATCTGCACATCCCATTTCTCTTTTAATGGTGTTGGACCTGAGCTGATCCTGGAAATCTAGTAGCCTGATGTGTTTACACCTAAGCTTAGGGTCCTCGCTGGGCTGAGTGGGCCCTTGCAGACCTGGCTTACGAGTTCCCATGGCACTCCTGGTTTGCAAGGTAATGTTCTCCCTCAGTCAAGATGACTGTATATCCCCTTCCATCCCTCAGAAGGAGAAGTGGTGTCCATTGATCGTAGGTAAAGTAGACAAAGGTGCCAGCAGGGTATCTTGAGGCACAGCAGAGGTTGGGCAGGGCAACTGCCCAAGGAAGAAACATCTCCTAAAATCAGAAGAGGTTGTTCTATTGGGATAGGATTGGATGGGAAATATCCTAGTTCCCATCATTGTACTGTGGTTTGAAGGAAATATTTTGTTCAAGAGGATGAGGCCAGCCTCTTCTCCGTGCTGCCCAGCAACAGGACAAGAGGCAATGGGCAGAAACTGAACCACAGGAAGTTCCATCTGAACCTGAGAAAAAACTTCTTCCCTGTGAGGGTGACAGAGCATTGGAACAGGTTGCCCAGAGAGGTAGTGGAGTCTCCTTCCCTGGAGATATTCAAAAGCCGTCTGGACACGATCCTGGGCAATGTGCTCTAGGTGACCCTGCTTGAGCAGGGAGGTTGGACTAGATGATTTCCAGAGGGCCCTTCCAACCTAAACGATTCTGTGATTCTATGAGCTGTGGGTCAGGATGAAGGGGCAGAGTTTGGCTGTATTTTGGTTGGAAGCTGTACTTCCTTGTGGCAATGAGGCACATCCAAAAACCATGATGATTTTGGATATTGCAGCCACGTATTTTAATAAGCATACTACTCTTCTCTTGCCTTCTTCAATCCTTCTCGATCAGGATGCATCGACTGATGAAGGAAGAATCAAGTTACAGAACAAGCAGCCTGGAAAATGCATCTCGGGACTCAAATAAAGAAAAGCTGCACATGAAGCTCTGCAGTGGGTCCTGTCATGCTGAGCAAATACTCCAAACACTAAACTCCTACCGACAAAGTGGCATCTTTACAGATGTGGTGCTCTTGATTGATGGACAAGAATTCCCCTGTCACCGTGCAACTTTGTCAGCCAACAGCACATATTTCCAGGCCATGTTTGGTAGCAATCTCAAGGAAGGCCACCAGGATATCGTCAACATCCAGAAGATTTCTGCTCCCACCATGTCTCTCCTTCTTGACTATATGTATGGTGGGAATATCATCATTCAGGAGGACAATGTTGAAGGCATCTTGGAGCTGGCTGACTTGCTGCAGATCTCCAAGCTCAGAGATGCTTGCGTAACCTTCCTCGAAGGTCAACTTCACCCGTGCAATTGCCTGGGCATCATGAAGTTTGCTGACTCATTCTCCATCGCTTCCCTGACAGAGAAGAGCAAGAGATTCATGCTAGAGTGCTTTGTGGAGGTGTCATGTCACGAAGAGTTCTTGGAGATGGGGGTGAAGGAGCTGGTTGAATATCTTTCTAGTGAGCAGCTGGTGGTCCCCAAGGAGGAAGTGGTCTTTGAAGCAGTGATGCGCTGGGTACGGCATGATATACCTGCCAGGAAGGGAGCACTGAAGGACCTCCTCGAGCATGTGCGCCTGCCCCTACTCGACCCTACATACTTCCTGGAGAAGGTGGAAATGGATGGACTCATCCAGGACTCAAAGGAGTGCATTCCCCTACTGCATGAGGCACGCAAGTACTACATCCTTGGGAACGAGGTCAGCAATTTGCGATCAAGGCCCAGAAGGTAAAACCCAACATCTTCTTCCCTAGATCTACATGGTCTAAGTTCTTGGGGGGAGGGTTCTTGTTTTTTTTCTAGGTTTTCCAGCTTAAGACATTCCTTCACATCTCTTATGTTACCTCTCCCTTTAGCAGCATGTTAACATGAGGAACCTAGCTTTACAGCAAGACTGAATGACGTACTTTGACATCTGGAACTGTAGTGACTCTGGCTCAGTGTCAGAGAGGAACTTTGCTTTTCTTGTGCTTTTGCAATGCCCTTCTACTTGGAGGGCAGGTCAAGTTTTTTTTCAAGAGCAGTTGCGCTACCAGAGATCTCTTGAGGCTCACAGTGGTATAAAGAGGAGGCAAACAAGCCTGTACTTTTGAAATCTGTGTTTTGATGTGAAGCTCGTTCCAAAAAGTTAATTTGTGACAGGAAAAGGCAATTTTGGGTTTTTTTTTAAAGCAATTTTTACCTTTTTCAAACTACACAGTGGATAAAAAAGCTATTTGTATTTTAAATTAAAGCATAAGGGAAGAGGTCATGTTTCTTCTATTTTTTTTTCCTCCTGGGCACAAAGGAATTCTAGCATTTGACCATGGAGAAGACAGATGAGAAAAGAGCCACATCTGCTGTCTCATAGTGGTCAGCCTAGTTGATTGTGGCTTTCCAGCTCCTCAAGTCAGTTTGGGTCAAAAAGCAACACAGAAGCCTTTTTGTAATATGGACACAAGTTAATGAGTCGTGCTAGACCTCAGCTCCCCACAGAGCCAGCTTGGGTGTCCCTGGTCCATGTTCTTGCAGCCAAGAGTGCTTAAATCACCATGAATAAACACCAGGCAGCATGGTGACATTGAGGCTTGTCACCTCAGAGCCAACATGTTGTATTTTGTCTGGCTCATGCAAAGCTATTCAGGAGCTTGCACTGAGCTCTGACTTATGGAAGGGCTTACAAGCGTACCACCTATCATAAAGTGACTGTACTACTCTGACTCAAACAGTACTGGAAACCCTGTAGCTGCATGTGGGCAATTTGCTTCTTAAATAAGAGACCAAAGTGCCTTTGCAGCTCCTCTGTTGTAATAGCCGGTACTTCTCAGTGAAGGTCTTTCAGCCCCAGCCCACATTAATCAGCTGTTCTCTTCAAAGTACTCACTCTCACCAGTACAGGTCTTACTCAAGTTGCCTCATTTGTGATCACTCTGCTTCCCAAATGGAGGCGCTGGAGACAGTTTCTTGACTTAAAGGGCTTGTGTGAAGTTTCCACTAATGCGTGCAAAACTTTTTTGTTAGCAAGACATGCTCTGGGTGTGCAATGATGCCATCTAAATGCATGTCCAGACTATGGGCAGGAGGGTGTGTTTGTAGCTCTTTATTCCTAGCTGAGCTCACCAATGGTAGAGCACTGGGCTGCGACCTGATTTCCATTCTCAGCTCTGCCTCTGCCCCTCTACTCTTATTTCGCCTCTTTTGGTGTTTCCCACGGCATCCCCAGTCTGTCTATTAGCAGAAAGGCTCAGACACAGTCTGACTCCTCCCGGCCATCAGTACTGTGACACAGGCATTGCTGCAGGGTCAGGAATTAAGGTCCAGGCGACTTGTGCTCTGCTGCTCTTTGGCCCAAGGAATCCAAACATTTTAGCCTCTCAGTAGAGCAGCCTCGATAGCAGACTGAAGGTTTCCCCAAAGCACCTCAGAAGTCCCACCCTGGTATTTAGGGCTTTCTTGTGGTGGAGGGAAGAGGTGATTTGAGTCCTCTCAAGCCAAGGTGAGACTTGAAGAGGGTCTTCTCTGTGCTAAATGCCCCTACAGGCCATTGTATAAAGACCTATTCAATAAAAGGGTCTGTGGTGACCAGCTCAAGGAGGTAGACAGCTAAAATTCATGGGATTAAGTGCCACCCTTAGTGTCCATGTTTTACCTCCCTTCTTTTATAACTTCAGCTGTAAGTGACTTGTCTCAGGTACGCAAATTGTTGGCCCGCAGTCTTTCAAATCCCCTTTCATTCTCCTCCTTCCTCCGTCCTTCCTTCCTGCAGGGTTGTTTCTTTCTTGCCACCTACCAGCTGGCAGGATTTTCCTCTCTCTGCTGTCTGTCTTGTCTGCTTGCTGCTATTACGGCTGGAGAGAGTGAGATTTCCTGGAAACAATTCTTTCTCCAGGCAGGGAGCTTGTCATAGGCTGTCTGCCAGGAAAGGCTTTCCATGCTTATGGCTACACGTTGAGGATTAGGCTTGATTGTGCGGGAAGGGGGAGGGCGAGTGGACCTAATCTCACAAGGGGCTTTTAAAGGTCCCGCTCCTTCCCTCTGCAGTTTGGACCCCTTCCTACACAAGCTGAGAGATGCCTTTGATTTGCCCATGCAGTCAGGAGGGAAGGCACAGGGATGAAAAATGCCTAGAAAATCCCTAGCAGACGCAGGAAAGGAGCCTGCTGTACACGTTGGACTGTGCTGCCAGGATCCTAGATGGGCCGGGAAGGACAGCAGAAAGGAGTGGCCTGGCCCATGGACTTACTCATGCCTGTCTTGATCTAGGTTCATGGAGCTGGCAGAAGTCATTGTGATTATTGGGGGCTGTGATAAGAAAGGCCTTCTGAAGCTGCCCTTCACAGACCTCTATCATCCAAAGAGCAGACAGTGGACAGCCCTCTCCAGCGTGCCTGGCTATACCAAGTCGGAGTTTGCTGCTTGCACACTGAAGAATGATGTGTACATATCAGGTGAGATGCCATGGGGTGGCAGAGCTCTTCTGAGTTAGGAAGAGGAGCAGTGTGACCACTGCTTGGACAGCCATGCCTGAGGTCTATTCGCTGAGGTGTTATTCATGTGCTTCCCAGCTCAGCAGCAAAGTCATTTCTCCTTGGTGAAGCTTATTCTTATGTGGTTTGGATTTGTATGGCCAAAGGACAAATTTCACCTTCGTAGGAAGATGGAAGTGTTGATAATATTTCCTCCTGCTTCTCTGGGCATCTGTCAAGTGTTTGGCTCTGGAATGAGCTGGATTCAGCGCCTGCAGTCAGATGGGGTTTTCTTTAACAATGGGGTTTCCTACCTGCTGCTTGTTTAAAATGTAATGCCCATCAAATGCATTCTGAGTAAGGGAGGAAGAAGTGTAATAAGTGCCTTGAAGTCCAGGGGATATCTCCCTTGGGAGGCTGAGTTTGCACAACCACCAAGTCCCTGTGGAGAAGAACATTATAAGAAAACTTTAAAACAGTTTTATGGTAAGCAAGTTCTCCTTAACCAGCTTTCTAAGGGCCCAGACAATCTTCAGGCTTGGTTACAGTAGAAATAAGGAGCATAGACACCTGGCTATCAATAGCGAAAGAAATTGTTCACAAACTTCTTTATTCACACTGAAAATATGTATGTATGTTTGGTAGCCAAACAGCTGAACCATCTAGCTAGAGGCTGCTGTAGAATATAACATTCATTTCGCAAGGGGAAAGGTCCTGTGGGTTCCTAGCAGGGTACTAGCTGGGTTCCTAGCAGGGTACTAGCTGGCTTCCCAATAACCATATTGTGGTCTAGGTTGTTCCACCGCATGGAGGAACTATGCATTATTGTGGTGCAGTGAGGTGATGGGACTGTCCTTGGGATCCCACCAGCCCTCCATCCCTCTGATTTGCAGGGGGCCACATCAGCAGCAATGACGTTTGGGTGCTGAGCTCGCAGCTGAACGTCTGGATCAAGGTTGCGTGTCTGCAGAAAGGCCGATGGAGGCACAAAATGACAACGCTGCAGGGCAAGGTAGGCGCTGGCCTGATTTTTGGAAGAAGTCATATGGAGCACACTCCTCCACTTCTCCCACTGCCCAGTGTAATACGAGGCTATCACTATTTGCTTGTCTTCTGGATCATGTAGAGATGATTTTGATGGGAGAACAATTAGGACGTAATCAAGGAGTCACTGTTTTCAGTTTGGTTTGTGTTGTCACCTGAAGTAGCCACAAATGAAATCTGAAACTTAGTACAAACATAGTAATAAGACCTATCATGGGATGGTGCAAGACTTCTGGAGATGGCTGTGTAAAGACCTTGGGTGAAAACTATGCAGTGTGGGGCATTTAAACCTGGGATATCTGACTTCTGATTCAAGGAGAAGGTTTTATCTCGGCTTGGTGTCTGTCCTTCTGGACATGTCCTAGCCTCACCACGTGTACTACATGACAGCGTAGCCTGTTAGGGGAGTCCGTGAGTTTCTAATTGGTTTGCTTTGCTCCTTTTGTGGCAGATCTATGCTGTGGGAGGGTTTGATGGTTTTTACCGCCTCTCCAGCGTGGAGTGCTATGACACCTTCTCCAACAGCTGGTCGACCTTGGCCCCGCTGCCTCAAGCTGTGAGCTCAGCAGCCGTGGTCTCCTGCCTCAACAAACTATATGTGCTGGGCGGTGCTGTGGACGACAGCGCAAACACAGACAAGGTATTGCTGGAATGAAGGTATGAGGATGACAGTAATGTAGAAACAGAACTGAGATAAGCGAAATAAGCCCTTAGCTAGCTCAGAAGCAGGAGGTATCAGCTTAGTGCAGGTCTAGTTTTGGGCGTTGTGCTTTGAGAAAGAGATTTCAAAGAAAGGCCAGGAAGGAACAACAAAAACGAACAGAGACCTAGAAAACTAGGTCTGCTTGGCAATGCAGAGAGAAATGGGGTTGTCTAAGCTTCAAGGGAGCCTTCGAAAGGGAGCTACGAGGAAGCCTTCAAAAAAGGCTGCTGCATAAAAGGAAGGAGTTACATGTTTTTCACATCCTCTGGGATTAGGATAAGTCATAGATTTAAATGGAAGCCAGTGAGACAGAGACCAGAGAGGGCAAAGGAAAGATGTCGGGCATTTGTTGTACGTTAGACATGGTTCCATTAGAGTCAGTTGTGCATTGATCTCTTGCAGTTCTGTCGCTGTGCACTTATAATTCTGGTGAATAGCAATTTCATCCAAGGAGGAAGATGAGGGAAATTTATGTTCCAATAGCTGTGTTTCTCCTCCCAGGTCCAGTGTTATGATCCGGAGGAGAACAAGTGGACACTCTTGTCCCCTACCCCGTTCTACCAGAGATGCATCAGTGCTGTGTGCTTGGACAACATCATTTATGTTGTAGGTGGACTCCTCAGTAAAATCTTCAGCTACGATCCAAGAAAAGATAGCTGGCGAGATGTGGCCACCCTCCCTGGACCACTGGTAAGGACAATTTTTTAGAAAGAAGCTCTGAACTTGTCTTCTCTGCCAATGCCAATGCCGTGCCAATGCCAGTACGTACTTACAAGTGACTTCTTTCAGGGAGGTGCTGGCTGGTTTTCTGGGCTGTTAGCTTGCTCGTGAGTCTCTGCTGTGTCGTCTGGCCAATTGCCGAAAAAAAGCAAATGTCAGCTTGAGATATTTCAAATACCTAAACTCTTGCTGAAAGAGTGAGATAGTAGCATCTAATATCATGGAGAATCTGGGGAAAAGTAATGATCCTCAAGCATCATGATGAAGTAGTACCCCAAATACCCACAGTTCCAAAGAGCTGGACCCCAGTTTTCCTACCTACCTTCTCTCCATTTTGCTGGGCGGGTGAGAGTTGAGCTCGTTGCAATGACTTGCTCTCCTGCTCAGCTCCACTGCGTAAAGCTGGAGGGCTGTTCCTCAGCTCTTGGGCTTTTCTTCTCCTTTCCAGGAGAGCTGTGGCTTGACAGTGTGTGAAGGGAAGATTTACATCCTGGGTGGCCGAGATGAGAACGGAGAAGGCACGGACAAAGCATTCACTTTTGACCCGACAACAGGGAGTGTGGAGCAGCAGCCTCCGCTGCAGCGCTGTACCAGTTATCATGGCTGTGTGACCATCCTGCAGCGCATGAACAGATGACCGTGGGGCTTCTACTGTGTCCACCTCCCAGCCAGAGCCTGCCCTTGAGACAGCGGCCACCCAGTGTGTGGATGGACAACCTGCCTCCTCCCTTGTGGTATTCTCCTCTGTGGGGAAGGGCAATACCAGCCATTGAAGAAGATGCACTCCAGCCAGGCCCTGAGCAACCTCTCTTTTGTTTTTGCAGTGTTGGTGATAACACCAACACTTTTGATGTTAATCTAGGTGAGAGGATGGAAGGGTGCTGGGCTATGTGAAAGTTACACTATGGACCTTGCAATAGTGAGATTAAGGTATTGTTGCAGGCACTGAAACTGCTGAATCTGATCTTTACTTAGGCTTTCCTGGCTGCAGGTTACAGCTTTCTGTTATGTTGGAAACAAAGGCTCGCTGTCCTACAAGGACATATGTTCTGCTGGTCTCTGACTCCTGAGGCTGTTGCAGTCATAGTTATAGAATCCAGCTCTTAGCTAAAGTTATGTGGTATTTGTACATTTAGCTCTGTAGATCCCTTTGTCTAACCACAATGCTGACCTAGATGGTGATTGACAGCCATGAACTGTTAGTCCCCATGACAGTGGAAGACTGAGAGTGAGACTTCAAAGCTGACATTCCAAGAAAATTTCTGTGCTAAATCCCTAAATGCCTGGTTAAATAGTGGACCTGTTGACTCCACTTTGCACATGCTGTATGAATTTTCCCTCTATCGCCCTATAGCACAGAGTGCTGTCTCTTTTCATACCTGTTTTGCGGTTGGACTGCTCTCTCACTGTATCTTTGTCATTGAGAGGAAGAGTGAATTGTGTAGCCAAGAGTTCCTTCTTTGGAGAGCAGAGGTGGGGGAATATAATGCGTAGAAATTAGCCATCACTTACATAGCAACGATGACATGAAGAACTGAGCCATGGTAGCCACAGAATTGCATCTGGCTCAGTTTGGCTCCAGAGTATGCTGGCAATTAGGAAAATAAACTTAATATTTAACAGATTGGGTACAGAGTCCCTGACAGCCCAAATATCTGCCCTGCTGTTAAAACAGTTCTTGGCACAGGTTTGGCCTGTGTCAGCTCTGACTTTTCCACACAGTTCTCAGGCACGGTTCAGGAGCTGTCACAGTCCAGAGCGTTCTCCATGGGCGGCTAGGGGCAGCCCATTTGGAGGGTGAGTTTGATAGCATAGGCTTCATTGTCCCAGGCCAGGTGGCCTCAGGATCTAGAAATGATCCTGAGCACATCTGGTTTGGTAGAAAAGCCATATCTTTTGATGTCAGTGTCTTTAGTCCAGGATAGGAATCAATAATTTTGGATGGGTCCATGTAAATGCCCGTGTTGATCATTTAGGAACTTGATTACTATTAAATGTAGAGTGGGGTCTCTTAAACTCCCATTACTTGTACATAGTGGGGTGCAACCCTCTAACAGCACGCTGCTGGCTGGCTGCTGTTCTCTCTGTACCTTCCTTTCCCCATTTCAGTGGTGACCTCTTTCTGAAGTAGAGGAAACTACTATGGCCATTGGCCCAGCTACTTCCCTTCTCAGGGCCATTTAGTTATCTTAAACCTCATATTGTTTCCTGCTTCCCCACATATAGCTGATTTTTCATCTGGTCCTCTTTAGTTGGCCAGTACTTAATGTCTTCTGTCAATTGTGAGAAGTTCACCTCTTGTTCATGGTTTCCTAATTACCTATAAAATATGGCAAAAAGAAATCCCTGCTGACAGAAGGCAAATTGGCTGGAACCTAGCAAGTTAATCTCCTTCTCTCATAAGGAAAAGCATATTTTTCCGTCGTTCAAGTGAAAAGTAAATTATTTTGTTGCGAGGACTGTTCCCAATACTCCTCATTGTCAAGTTTGAAATGTTTCAGGGTTATGGTGGTGATTTTGTCTATCAAGGTACACTATTTATATTCTCAGCCTCAAATTCTCCTTAAGGCTTGTGCACATGGGTTAACGCTTTTTTCAGCTCATGAGCAGCACAATGTGTCCTTTGAGTAATACAAAGGCGAATCAGTGCTGGTATAGGTTATTCCTCTGATGATAAAGAAAGGAACTTTTCACCAGTTCATGCTGGTGAAAAGCAGTTTTATTTGCTGTCATATTTGGGTCTTTGGTGGGAATGATTATTTCAGTAGAAAGCGTACCTTTCACTGAACTAATTAAATTAGCGCAAAAAAGGATGTGCACATCAACCCATGACATGGTAGACTTTAGGCCAGGGACCTTGATTCTCCTGCAGTCTGATCCCCTGAGGACCACAAGGCACAGCACATCTGCCCTGAGCAATTCTGCTGCTCCTACTGCTCCCTTATGCCTTAAGCAACTAGCCTCTCTCTTTGGTATGGAGGCCGCTTCAAAGTATATGGATTGGGACCCAGTGTCTCCACCTCACCCCCATGCCTTGTCTAGCCAAGTATGTTCTTCATTCTCCACAGACTGTCCCATTATCATCTCCCTCCATTTGGACTGCGCTTTGGAAAACACTGCTGGTGTTCCCAAAAAATGGGTGCAACTAGACCTTGCAAGCGCACGTGTTGAATGAACTGTGCTCGACTGAGGAGGCAGCAGTGTGAGGAATCAGCCCTTATGAAAGGCACGGTTCTCATGCTGAATTTCTGCCTTGACTAAGATATTCAGAAAAGGGCTATAAATACAACCATAGCCTGTATGGCCATTGACAGATCTTTGTGCTCTTGTTCTTGGAAAGAGCATTGCAATATATGCGGACATAGCAATAGTCTCGATAGGAAAAGGGAGCAGTTTTCCACTGGCACTGGTAGCTTGCTGGGTAAACCTTGCTTTACTTTTACACTTGGCTGAAACATTCCTGAGGGAGTCTTGCTTAGGCTAAGCCTAAAATGTTTGAAGGAGATTTCACTGACTGTTGCGCTTTATAGCCTATTTTGGGGGGCTCTCATGTGGAATTTGGAAGACGGGCTATAGCCTTTTGGACCAGGCTTTTCATTGTCTTAGGCTGGTTAGGATTTTCCTAACATCTCCTATGAGTCTCTTGCTGTACTTCACACTTTAGTCTTGTAGAAATAAACACACTTGAAAGCATAGATTCACTATAAGATGTTCAGGTCAGCTTTCCTATGTGCTTTTGACATGTGTGATGTGTTACAATAGGTGATGGAAGTTGTGGCCTAGATACTAAAATGTTCACCTTGTTCTTGGTCCTGATATTCATTGTACTGCTGAACTGTATTTGTATTTTGTAATGGCTGTGAGCTGTGGGCATGCAGAGGAGGGGGAGGGAAGGAATTTAACTCCTTATTTTTAGAAATAAACAGTTCCCTCGACTTCTAAGTGCTTTTGCTGCAGGAATTTTTTGACTGCTTATCTTTCATTTGTGCATATTGCTTCATGGCATTCAAAAAAAATACTGATGCTCCATTGCTGATGGAGCATCAGAAGAGTATTGGGAGCACTACCCATGAGAACAGCAGAAAGACTCCAGGGCTGGGTTTTGGCCTCTGGCTGGGATAACTGAGTTGTCAATCTAAGCAGGTAAGAACCTCAAAGTACTGCTATTGGTCTGCAAATGATGGTGTCTTTAAACGTAATGTGGGGTCATGGCCAAATCAAGGTAGAGAAGGTGCCTGGAGCAGTCAAACTGAGCTGATGAGTTGGGAAACCTCTTTTGATAGTTTAGTGTGATGGAAAGAATATCTTCAGAGAAAGTGAAAGATTAGTTGTCTTGGGTGATTCTTGTTCTTGATGTGTCAGAAGAACATGAAACTGGCTGCCGCTACAATCTGCTCCAGGCTTTGGAGAAGACTGTTGCCAGACCACATGTAAAGCACTGTCTCACTGTGTTTGTTTATAGTAAGATACAGACTTACTGTGGGAGCTTTGTATAGCAAAAGATGTAGAAGAAAGTAGTGATCATCTGGAAAGCATGTGCAGTCATTCAGCTTTATGTATTTAAGCTTTTAAGCATGCAATAAATGACTTTTTTGCACTCCAAAACAGTAACTCTCAATCATTTCCAAGTAATACTGAAAACATCCCTTCCTCACTCCATCCTTTTGATTTTCCTGTTGCTTGTCTCAGCAGCTGCATTGTTTTTGTTATATTGGTGTTGTGGATGTGAACCATGGGGAAGAAAAAGCTTTTGGGAAGAAATCACATGGATGATGCAGATGGTAAGACCCGCAGGGACTGATAATATTTGTCTATGACACATAGACTAGAAGAATGATAAATAACTTGGAGGATGGGGTTGTTGTGGAGAGCAAGATGGATTGCTTGGTGACCTTGGCTACCTAGTCAAAAAATGCCTTCTTCATATAGGCAAATGGGTCATGATGCAACTAGGCAAGAAACAAATGCCACTCAGATCTAAAGAAGGATCCTGTGGAGCAGCATTTAGAAATGGATTTGGTGACCAGAGTGGAATAGTAGCTGTGTTGGTTTCCAGTGTGAGGCTGCTATCAGAGATATGATACTTGGATGTAAGAGGAGAGAGAAGACAAGGAAGGATGTACCAGGTTAGTGTCATCAGTAAGATGGAGAAAGGATGCTGGGAACAGATCCAGAGTTTGTGCTTGGGAGAGCATGTGAAAATCCTGAGGAACAGAACGATCACAGGAGTGGGATGAGAAGCAGAGCGCTCAGGCTGCGAAATTGAGCAGAAGGAAGGGCATAGGCTTGTTTAATAGCAAGTTTTGCAGTGTGTCATATAGGTACCTTCCCAGATTCTGCTGAGTTCTTCAGTTCCACAGAGAACAAAAACCGATATCCGATAACCGGTACAAGTATCTGAAGGGGGAGTGTCAAGAGGATGAGGCCAGCCTCTTCTCCGTGGTGCCCAGCAAAAGGACAAGAGGCAATGGGCAGAAACTGAACCACAGGAAGTTCCATCTGAAGCTGAGGAAAAACTTCTTCCCTGTGAGGGTGACAGAGCATTGGAACAGGTTGCCCAGAGAGGTGGTGGAGTCTCCTTCGCTGGAGATATTCAAAAGCCGTCTGGATGTGATCCTGGGCAATATGCTCTAGGTGACCCTGCTTGAACAGGGAGGTTGGACTAGATGATCTCCAGAGGTCCCTTCCAACCTAAACGATTCTGTGATATGGGGAAGATCAAGCGATATAAACCTAAATGGGAGTTTCTGTAACTAGGCTGAGATTCGTAACCTTCAGCTTCATCCATCAGAAAATCGGGTGTGCTCATCAAAAATAAGAACTGGGGCCTCCTCCAAAGTCATTAGGGAAAAGAGGGCTCTTCAAAGAGTAAGTTAAGCCCCTTACATTAGATGTGTCTCTTGGAATGGGATGAGTGGAGCTGCCTTTCTGCATGGGCTTGAGAGATACCTCGCTGACTACTTTGAGGTAAAAATCTAACCTTCAGGTGGCAAAAAGAGGAACCCTCTCCCCTACCCTGACAGGCCTTTAAGTCGAGACTGGATGCCTTGTTGGAAGAGATGTTTTAGTTCAGCAGGAATTATCATGCTCACAGGAAGCATGACAGATGATCTAATGGTCCTTTTTGGTGTTAAATCCATGGAGGTACACTGAGTATGTGTCTTAAGGACCTCATAGTCCGTATGAGGCAGGGATGGACAAAGGACGGAGACAGTGAGAGTTTTCCCAAAGGTTATGCAGCAGATTTGTGATAATAGGATGAGAAGTGAGTGAGTGAATGCTCCCTCCTGTCTGTCTTGTGAGACAAACAGGAAGGAGCTATGTAATACACTCATGCTGGACTGTCATTCCTTAGTGATGAATGTCCTGAAAGACCACAGTGAATGCTTTGGGCTAGAAGGAGTGATTACAGCACTTGTCTCACAGAAGGTTTGAGCCTGTTGTCCCATGGAGTGAAACCATCTCCCTCCATCTCCGGTCGGTCACCAAGGCATCATGGAAAGATTATTAACCTGTGCTTTGGCAGGAGGTGAGAGCCCTCGACACTTTGCAGCGGTCACCTCAGGGAGTATGTTTCTGCACCCAGTGCTCTCTGCAAAATGCAGCATAGAGGTAGCGTGAGGCAAAAGCTTCCATGTGCTCTCCATCCCTTGGAGAGCTGAGCAAGGACAGTGCTCACCCCATGGGAGATGACAACAGCTCCCCACCGTTTTTATGTGGGCTATGGCTAAGCTAAGCGCACCATGGACTTCCACAAAGCCAGGCAGAAACCACCTTTAAGATTGCTGGTGATTCACCATCTACCTAGAGCACCCACACAGTGACGCAGCCTGCGTTTGAGAGCTGGAACCTGGAGAACTTGAAATTGGAGGTGACAAGGACCTTCTACAATGACCCATGGTGTGTTCTATCCTGTCAAACAATCACTGGTCATAGAAACTATTATTTCCTCCGCTCTCACTTCATGATGTGCTTTCAGTCTTTCTCAAGCCTGCAGTTTCTTCCCCTAGTTTTGGCTTGTCACACACTGGCTTCGCCTCCTGAGGTACATCCCTTACCCAGTGCCATCCCCTTGACTGGGGCTCTTTTGCTCACTCCTGTTTCTCCTTGCCCTATCGGTTCAGGTCGATTGCATGTGCTCACTCTAATGAATCCGGCTTATTTGCACATATGGTAATTGTTGTTTTTAGTGCACAGAGCTGAAAAAATCTCCTCTCCAGCATGGATGTGGCAGGGCATTGCTATGCTGCAGCCCCTGGAGACGTTGAACCTGTCTTTACATTTAACTATCCAGCTGGCAGGAGATGATAGCATCGCAGGCGGGAGACTACTACTCAGGGATACAAGCCCCATCTGAAAAGATGAGCTAGCACTGATTAATTCAGATTAAGGGTCACAATAGCCAGCTGGGAACTGGTGGGCAGAGATAATAGCAGTTACCCTGGCTATATCTCTAGCCTTAAATATTCCTGTAAGAAAAAAGCGGAGGGGGGAACTGTGTCAGATTTATTGTAAGGTTGGTGTGACTGGTTTCATTTTTTTATTACATTCAAATAATGGTGGGACCATCAGGGTCATTCATATCCAGTACCTGGCTGCAAATGACCATTTTATGTGGAATACAATGTTTTCCAGTTTGGAATGATAAGGATTGAATCCTAGTTTTAGGACCCCTGCACACACAGCAGCTCTTCATGGGTGCAAGCATGACACAAGAGGGGCTATTCAGCTGTTGGGCTTCACATGTTGGTTCCCATCTGCTTCATCTCAAAAGCGCTGTGATGGTTCTCCTGAGAGAGTTTGTTCCTGAATGCAGAAAGAGCTTTCCCAAGTCACTGGGCTCAGGACCAGGCAGCAGCTGAAGTCTTCTGGGCTATATTCTATTTTTCATGCTGTGGCCCACACAATATGAGAAGGTAGGCCAAGAAGGTAGAATTGCAAAGCAGAGAAAAAAAGATGTTTCTAGGCGTGCAAACACCAGACAAAGATGGACAACCCAAAAGTCCCGAACATTTCAACTCGCAATTTTGAACTTTTTGTTCAACTTGACCATTTCAACTTCAGCTGAATGTGTATTAGCTTGTAAGGCAAATGGTCACACTGAGACAACTTAGATGCTCCTTGAGGCTTAAACAGTCACCCCCCCTCCCCCAGGGTTAAGTGTGCTTTGGATTAACAAGAAGAACGAGAATGGTTGATTTAACAGCCTTAACAGTCTAGGAAGTGATCAAAATCTAGAAGGCTTCACTGGAAAGGTGATGTAGAAAAGAGGTAGCTTCTCCTGAACAGAGAGTGAGGGACTTTGTGCCTTGCTATAGAGCAATCATCAGTTGGTGCATGAAGCGCAAGCATTGCTTCAAGAAGGGCACCCAAAAATGAACCCTCCGGCACACAGCGTAGCACACAGCTCTGAGCTGAAGCATAGAGGAGAGAAGTAAGATCGCATGAAGGAGACACCTTTCTCAACCAGATACTGGGCTTGTAGCACTTCCTGCTGCACACTTGTCATGAGCAAATTACCCCAAAACACCACTAGCTGCACAAGGGATGGTTGGAAGCAGGTGCTGTCCCCAAGGACTGTACAGCAGAAGTGGGCAGGGCTCACCATACGTAACATCGCTGAGGAAGGTAGATTTTTGTCATGCAGAGCTGGCCCAGGGTACTAAAATGGGGGTGCCCCAGTCCCCTGCATGGGAAGGTTAGTCGGGCCTCCATCCAGCCTGGACTTGGCAAAATGCTGGTCATTGACAGTCTGTGCTAGGTCTCCCTTTTTGGTTTCCATTAATCTCTGCAGAAAGGGGATTCAGAAGCATGCCTGGGCTGTGGCCAGCAGCCTTTGTTCGCACCACTTTGGTGACAGAGCCTGTTTTCAACGACTCCCCCAGAAATGCCGAGACACTGAAAGAAGACTGAATGCTTCTGTGTGCAACGAGCTCCATCATCAACAGGAAACACCGTCTGCTCTGCATTGACAAGCCGCAGGCGTTCGAGGTAGCTATTCCATCCACGTAAGCTGCTTCAGCAACTCTGCCCTTTGCACAGGGCAAGGCTGCTCCATATAGCAGCAAGAGCTAGATGAGAAGACTGAAAAGGAGGGGAAAATGCAGGATGTGGAGCAGAACAGGTGATTCTTTGTATTGAAGTACAATAAAGGGATATAAGAGGTAAGCTCCGCTAATTAATTAAGTAGCTCTGTCCAGCTCACTGTGTGTGGCTCCCGCTATCAAAATATCTCGGTGCTCTGCTCAACACTCCTGTGAGGTTGGGAAATACCCCAGTCATGAGGCTGGAAGCACAGAGATACACCACGGCGCAGCTCTGCAGAGTCATTAGGTGCCCTGAAGTATCTCTCCGGTTTAAGCAACAGATATTGGCCTGAATGACTTTTCCAAGGACTTGGGTAGGAAGCAGAGGTGGGAATCAGGGCGAGGAGTCTCCCCACCTGACTTGAAGCACTTTATAGAGGTGCCAGTGTTAAAACTCTGGGGTCAATAAAGAGACCAGGAGACATGGATCACCTTTTGGTTGCACTTTTCTCTCTTCACCCACTATAGAAGGAGTCAATGTCAGATAGGGTGGCCAAAAGCAACAGCAAAAATTCTGCT